AGTAGGATCAGGGATTTAAATTACCTGTCAAGAAAACGTGCACTTACTGTATTCTGTGTCTGTGATAACATTTGGCCACTGTGCCATTGATGATGAATGATGATAAATAAATTGCTTATGCAAGGGATTGCGTGATCAGATGTCGTCATCCATTCATTCATACTGTGTAGGCCCATAATGAGTTGTTGTGCTTTTCTTGATCGCTGTTTGTTCTGTGGTTATTGACATACTGTGTAAGCTACTTTGTGTTGATTTGTTACTGTAGGCTGGCTAAAGGTTTGTTTGATAGTCTCAGACTGCAGGCTGTGGTGGTTTGAGTCCAGGGCAGGCTGTTAGATTTGTGTTGATAGATTTAGCACTTTGTCTGCTGTCTGTGGTGCTGACCAAAGGCTGCAGGTTTGCAATTGCGTGGAGTTGTTGTGTGTCTATATGCCTGTGTGTACACAAGCGTGCTTTTTGGGGCGGGGGTGGAGGGCACAAGAAAAGTATTTGCACCTGGGCCAATTACAAATATATTATATATAGTTCAACTCAAGCTGTTTGAGGAAACCAATTGCCTTCAACCATTTAAGTTTATTAACTAAAACAATTTAAGCATGAAAGATATTTGATCTGAATAGTAACTCAACAATTTTTTGGTTGCGGTAACTTTAACACATTTAAGCGCACTTAAAACAACTGAGTTGTTTCAACAATTCATTTTTGAGTTAGGTTAAATTCATGTGAATTAAGTAAACCTGAGTGACTTTAGTGACTGGAGGATTAATTTATGTTAACTTACTTCTTTTCTTAAGATGTGTTGTCAGGCTTTACAGTGTTAGTTCATGGCAAGCTAACTTAAAAAGATAATGCCTAGAATTACATAAAGAGCAGCTGAAGTTTCCATGGCAGGTGGATAAGGCCTCTGTTTGAATGACTCACCTTCTCTTTAGTGTCCCTGTTAGAACACATTTTCTGCATAATGGAACAAAGAGGTTGTTTGCTCACAAGAAATTTGAAGCAAGTCATTGCCATGGGGTATTGTTGTCATGTTGCCTTATTAAACTCTTGGGAGCTTGCAATATCTGATGTGTAGTACATGCACACTGTGCTTCACATTTTCTACATGAAATCTAACAATGTATCAGGCAGATTTCCATTAACATTTCTGAGCACATTCATGCTGCCAAGCAGATAAACCCTTTAAATTTTCAAGTGAGAATAAAAAGCACTCTATTTTCTTGCATTTATAAAATGTTCAAGTATGCAAAGATTTAGCAAACACTGTACAGTACACTGACTTATAACATCATAGGCACCCACCGCCACCATATTTTTTACAAACCTCAAATTAGGGGAGGGACACGACTAGAAACTTAACAACACCACGTCTACGTTCATGGTATGTACACACTGAATTACAAGCTATATTTTGAAATAGGTGGATTGTGGTGTTGTCGTCCTCTGCTGCAATAATATGTATAGGTGAACTCCAAATAACAGCAGCAGCAGTGGGTAACTGAGATTGGAGGGCTACTGAAGCCTTGATTGCCCTAGTAAAGACAACCCTCGTGGGTATAACGGCCTCAAAAGGTCATTATAGACACAGACACAGATTTCAAGCTCAGAACTGGGAGTGCAGAGAACACACACACAGACACACACACACACACACACACACACACACACACACACACACACACACACCCACAGACGGCAATGTTTGTATTGAAAATTAAACATGTTAAATAAATAATTAATGCCTATGTAATGTTTTTAGAACAAAATTGTGTTGTCCTATGCAAAACTTAAGTATACAATGCGAAAAATAATTTTCAGGCTCTTCTGCACTGCCACTTTTCATGTAATACTACCTGTATTAGGACACAGGGCACTGCACAACAAATGAAAATCGTGCCCACTGTTTTTCTAATCCAATTTTCAATGCTGTATTTATTTCTGATAGAATTTTCTGAAGTCTATTACCTGGTTAAATATACATGGCATATTTATTCTTGCTAACCTGAAAGTGGAGCCATGCTCATCCAGAAATTATGCAACAGGGGTACCTACAGCACCATATTTTAAAGCGGAGGGCCACTGACCAAGCTGCAGTATTGGACGAGTGTGGGAGTGAGAATGTGTTGGATTTTCTGGACCCACTGGACTCTTTTTAGAGATGTTCCCAGATTCAGATATAATAACTTTGGTGAGTACTACATTATCTACAAAAGTAAAACCCAGTTTCTTCTAAACCATTGCTTTTTCTTCATCAAATGTATAGCGCCTTTCTAGTCTTCCGACCACTCAAAGTGCTTTTACACTACATGCCACATTCACCCTTTCACACACATTCACGGCAAAGCATAGAAACTAACTGACACAGCATCAAGGAGCACTTTGGGGCTCAAGGATACTTTGACATGCAGCAGGGAGGAGCTGGGGATCAGCCCAACAACCTTCCAATCAGTGGACGATCTGCTCTACCTCTGAGCCACAGTCTCCAAGTCTAATTTGGATACCAACAGGTTGCTCTTTGTGCTCTGAGTCATTTATTGACTTGCCTGTTTGGAGGATTTTTTTTTGCCTCTTTCATTCTGACGCAGCTAAGCCAGCGGCTTACTGAATTGTGCTGGTGGAAAACCCATGTTAGAGTATTATTCAATATATAAAAAAAAGCCAAGGGTTTAAACACATCTGGAGGGGGCAGCCCTTTGTAGGGAAACAGGGTGGAGTATGATACTAATGCAACTAGAGCCATGTATCCTCTGCTGGGACTTTGTGCCAGCACCCAGGCTATTTTTAGTCCCATTTCCAGTGTGACCTCCTGCCACACGCTCTGCCTTTCTCTGAAATAACAATCGCTCTAACGGAGGAGGGGGGGCAACTTCACTTAACGATGGTTTCATCTTCTGTTCCCAACAAAACTTCAGAGGCAGGAGAGTTAGAAGAACATTTATTTCTTTCCCACCCTATTTCCAAGAAAAGATCTGTAGCATCTTAGCATCCAAATGTCTTTACGAAAGCTCTGCTGAGGTTTGAACAGATCCTGCGAGTTTTATTCGATTGCTCAAAAGAGTTACAAGGGGTACACACTTCTGAGCATATCAACAAAGATCTAGCCCTGAGGTCCTTTCTGAAGTATTTCAACGATAAAACACCACTATCTTTAGATTTAACCCATGCCTTGATAAGATGTTAAGCAGCTTGAACACAATGAAACATCTCGTGAACTGAAGTCTTTAGATGGCACACCCAACGACACCAGTGGGATGTTTTAAAAGCTTTATAACTTTGGGGAGCAACTTCTTAATGCTCGAGCATCTGCCACACTGAGAAACTGATCTTAAAAAACCCAGAACGGGAGATTAGTGACATTGTCAGGCTAGGCAAAAAAATAGCTTTAGATGTAGTTTTTCTTGTGATCCAGTATGTCTGTTAATTGCAGTCCCAACCTGGTGACGGAGCAGGATTAATGTTAGAGGGTGTAGGATAGAGATGCTTCATGCTTTGAGATGATTCCAGGAGAGGGATGGATACTTTAAATTGGTATAACATCAAAGAGCCCTACATATCAGAGGTTCTGGAGACCAAATTATGAGACATGAGGGCAAACGAGAGTGCTTACATGCAATTGGTTTTTCAAGCTCGAGGGAGGACAGGTGAAACACACTCAGGTCAACCGAATACTCCCCTCTTCCCGCTATCCCTGCAGGTCTAGGCATCATCCAACACTCTACCATGCATCTACGCTCAACGGTCAGTTCACTTGTCATGAGGAGTACTTCTAAGAAAATAATCCTGATGATGTCATAGTGTTGTCATCAGGATAATTATTAGTGTTGGAATCGATCCCATACCTACCTTATTTACATATCGCACTTACATCACAGATCCACATACTGGTCCAGATTCAATAGTCTGATGGTTTTATAAATTATAAATATGTAATTATCAAATTTAAAGGCCATGGCCAAACCAAATGTTGTACAATACTACAAATTTAAATTAACAGAATCAGATATATTGGAAGGTATATAAACTCAGGTATTGGATCTGAACTGAAAACTGAATATGTGCATTACAAACGGCGTGTTTGAAAGATGTGGGTATTGATGACGATTGATACCTTGGCTCTGCTGCAAAGATTGTAACAATTTTTTATCTAATCTGTCTCTATGATTCCCCCGACTTTAAGGACGTGCATTATTAAATGTGTCCCTTTAAGTCTTAGATTCTCAGAAGAGCAATTATATCCCTAAAGTTAATTATTAAAGCCTGATCAGGAGCAGATTGAAGCAATGCCAATATTAATATTTGAGAGTTGCAAATATATAGATATAAATATATAAAAACATATTACCAATATATTGACTTTTATCCTTTTTTTAAACCCAAACCCATAACATAAACAAACATTTTTCTTAAGTATCCCTTAAATTTGGTTTCTGACATAAATGAACAGTGTCCATATATCTACATTTTCTACATTTGTGAATGAAAAATTGCTTTCTGTGTTATCTCATCTCGTTTCACCTGTTATGTCATTATCCAAGTCAGGTGACTGTCTCCCATTTGCTGGTGCTTCTATACAAGGGAGGCCACACCTGTGTTGTTTGTTTAAAGCCCTTATAAAGTTTTCGAAAAGATGTTTTTTTTAATTAGGTTTTTTTAATATATATCTTCCTCATTGTGGAAGCTATTTTAGGGAGAGCCTGGATTACCTTTTTGTTCAACCTTTTTTAAATGTCAGTAAGTCTGCTTTCAAACAAACGAATCCTGATGAATGATGGACTCATACGTCAGCAGGAAGAGGCTCACTGTCCACTTGGTAGCTTTTTCCGGAGCTTTTGACCACATCTTATGGTCTTTAATAGTAAATGGAGGTGATAGTGATGTGATGTGGTTGAAAGCTTTCAAAAAAGCTAGTGAGTGGACCTTGAGTTTGTGTCTGTGTGTGTTTGTGATCACAAATAAATGCCTTTATGTGTACAACAGGAAAATAAGCACTCCACACCTACCTCCAAATGCTGGCCTCATGGTAAAGTCATGGTCATCTACTTTAAGCAGGTGCTCCGTCTTCATTTTGCGAGACTTGGTTACATCAGGAGGTTTCTTTGCCAAGGAGCTATAGAGGAAGATGACATTCACTGTCAGAGGGTAGTCGACTGAAAGCAACACACCGACAGTGGAGAATGCTGATTCAATCAACTGTTACAACTGAGAGCAAGCACTGCACATTGATCATTTATGTAACTGTTCCTTCTTTTTTCTTTTCTCAGAACGTCTGCATTCCAAACATTCAAAAGTACACACAGAAAGCTCACACAGAAACCAACCATCATATCATGGTATAGAAAATGCAAGTTATTTAGAAATGTTGACATTAACCATGCATTCAAGCAAAACAGCCACCCCGACCACAGACATGCCACTCCTTGTATTTGTGTCCTTGGGTGAATAGAATGTCGTGCTGTGATAATTGCCAGTGGTATGGAGCTCTTTAGACCTCATGCTGTGTTAAATCACCTCTGAGGACAGACAGATATAAGTTTTCTCTACCAGGGAGCAGAAAAACAGAAATAAATGTATCGCCCTCCCTGCCCTCATGTCCATTTGGGGATATATATATGTTCTAAGGCAGCACATGTTCTGCATCATTCATCAATTCCTCATTTAAACTTAAAATCTAAAACACTGGTTCCCAACCTAGTGGTCTTGACCCCTAACCTTCCAATGCAGCTGGTCTCATGAGATCATAACAGCACGATATTCTCTGAAGGCTTTTCTCGTTGGAAAAGATGTTTTCGATCTTTTCCATGGTGTTTTCTTCATTCATCCAATCACCTGCCAAGTATTTTTTGGAGAAGCCCGCCCTCTTCCAAACAGTGTCCAATGATGATTTCCCAGATAATTCTGTGTAACAAACCATTTGGCACAGTCAGATTACCTAACCTCCACTAGAGATCGCCAAAGCTTCATGGGGGGGGGGTCACGAGGCCTTCTTCATTTGAAAGGGTGTAAGAAAACTTAAATATACAGTAGGCCTATATCTCAGCATTTTATTCATTTTTGTGCTTGGTTGAGTCAAGAAGATTGCAATCTCACCCCTAGATGTCACTAGATCCTAATGCTGGTCCTATAAATAGTGGTTCCCAACCTTGGGGTCAGGACACCCACTAGGAGTATCCAAAGCTTCATAGGGGGTCGTCAGTTTAATAAATTATAGAATAGGTGTCCCTTAAGAAAAAAGGTAGGGAACCACTGCTTTGAAACAACCAAGAGATAATAGAACAATAGCCAAGTGTCAGGGAGAATATAACAACAACAAATGCACTCCCTTAAAGAAAAAGGTTGGGAACTGCTGCTTGAGAACCAAGTATGTTTTGTGATTTGCAACTTTTCAATCTTTTCAATATTTTCAATATTTTCATCTCCCGTACATACTGCATTGAGGTTTGTGTTTCACAGGAATAATTTGAAACAGATACCAGTTCTATCAATGTTTACCCAATTCTGCTCTGACAGAGTTGTTGTGATTAGATTGCACATTACTTTTTATCATAACTCTGCTTTTCAGACCCGGAAGCTCTGTCTATTATATATACAGTCAATGTTTAAAACACAAAGTGTTTTACTGTCATGGCGGCGGCCAAAACGCTGAACTCAAGGCTTCAAAACGGTTCTCCACGATCCAATGGGTTACGTCACGATAGGTTTACACTTGGTTTTGAAGCATAAACCAGAACGACAAATTTTCACACCCCTACTAGCAGGACAACATGTAGTTTGTAAATGCCCTTCATGACCTTTACAAATCATACATACAAAAATAAATAGAAATATCCAGTTTTGATCTGACAGCACTGTGGTTACAGTTTGGTTAGATTCAGGCACAAAATGGCCAAAAAGGCTTAAGGAAACATGGATGGTTGAAATAAACACCACTTTGCTAAGGTTATGGATTAATTGTGGTGGTAAAAAAACAAAGAACCCTTCCACTGTTGGTAGGAAAAAGGAAGCGAATAGTGTTTGTGTCCAGCCATGTCTCCCAGAAATTTTGTTTATATACTTATTTGTAACAGCAAATATGTTTCAAATGAAACTAATTCTGGCCATTACATTTTCCATTAAAGGTCCAGTGTTTAACATTTAGGAGAATCTATTGTCAGAAATGGAATAAAATATTCATAAGTATGTTTTCATTAGTGTCTAATCACCTGAAAATATGAATCATTCTTAAGAATCACGCCTGTCTACAGTAGCCTAGAAAGGTGCTGGCTCTCGATAGGACCTTTTGCATTTCTTGCAAGTTTCGCTGCCACTGTTTCTCCTACACACTTGGAATGCTGAGCTGTATTCAGTTGGTTGCAATCTGGAACTTCGCCACTAGATGCCACTGAATCCTACATACAGGCCTTTAACATATTGAGGAAATCTTTCTAAGTCTTAAAAAATGCTAATACTGAACAAATCAGTAATATGTTCACTGACATATTTTGTTAGATTTCCTCAAAATATCTTAAAGTATAATATCTGTTCTTAGTGAAACATTTTTAAACTTTTCATGATAATGCAATGGTAGCACTTGGTCTTGTGTGTAGGATAAGGTGGCATCAAGTGGATGAATACCGCTACCCTTCAAAATGTGTAGGAGATACTACGGTCTCGGAATTCAAAAAAGTTCGGAATAACAAAAGGTCCTATTTAAAGACAGTGTTTGGTTTGTCCGTTCTGGGCTACTGTAGAAAAATGGTAGATCAGCATGGCGGACTCCGCCATGTAGAAGAGGATCTGCTCCCTTTGTAGATAAAAACGGCTCATTCTAGGGGAACCAAACCATTCTTATTTTCAAGTATACACTAATGAAAACATACCTATGAATATTATATTCCATTTCTGCCAATAGATCCTCCTACATGTTATACACTGGACCTTTAAATACAGAAAAAAACAATGTCACAGATTTTCTTTGATCCTCCTAATACTATGACAGGTTCCCCAAACCAAGCGGCAAAATAGGTTGTGAGTCATTACCCTCCACAAGGACTTAGTATTTTCTACTCTGGTGCCCCCATTAGCAGAACTACATTGTTTGCCAGGGCCTCCCAAAGCAAATATGATTCCTATAAAAAAAACATACTTGGTTTTTGAAGAGGAAAGCCTAGAACAGTGTGTCCCTCTGAACCCCAAACTCCACCTGAAGAGCAGGTCAGTGTCAGCTTCTCCACCTTCAGAGTATGAATGTGTGGGTGATCGCACTGATTCAACTGCAGTTTTAAATTGCCTAATTTCCTTCATTCAATCATGCCTTTTTTACATGTTTTTTATTATTCCCTCCCCTTCTACGTGAGGAATTAATCAATGCATGTGTTAATAATCTTGTTTTTAACATACAAACTGTCAGATGCTCATTAACAAGGTATCACTACTGTGCAATAAAGCCACACCTCATTCATGCAGTGAGCAAAGTTCAGACTTGAACTGGTGCTTTTTACCACAAAGGTAAATAACAGCATTATTTTAGGACCAAAACAATCCTGAACATTTTTTAAAGAAAGTTACATTTCAAACGTCCCCTGGGCGTTATATCAGTTTGATAAAACATAAATTTCACCCAACATTTATTCCATAATGCATCTGTAATTATTTGCACATAAAGCAGCAATATGAACCTTCTATGACTTCCTTTGGTCATTTTTTAAATCTGTTTTTTTATTTTTTATTTTGGAAATGTAAATAATTCTAAATAATACAAGTGAGCTTGAGCTCCACTCTCAGCATCTTAAGGCATCATTCCATTCATGAACTAGCACTGGTAATGGTAATTAAATTAAAAGTACTATTATATTCGATATCTGCATTTATTCCCCCTCTCTCTTCCACTTACGTGCCATGCTTTTGTGTCTCCACGGTACCGGTCCATCTCCGCACCCGGTGGCCGTGCTTACGGCACTCGCCGGTAACGACCAGACACAGAAGTAAAATCAGAGGTTTGGTCATATAAGGCATCTTGACAGCGCAAATCCACAGGTGAGTCCCTTGAAAGCCCCTTCCAGTCGGTTCATTCCAGCAGGGCTCAACCGGCAGCAGCGCATGGTTCAGAGCAGAGGGTGGATGATGCGTCCTCGGTCATGGCATCGGACTGACTCCCGCGCCAGGCGGCAGGAGAGGAACGCGCGCGTGTGTGTGCGATAGTATACACTGCCTGCACTTATCCTTACGAGAGAGCGAAGAGAGAGAGAGAGAGAGAGAGAGAGACTGAACATCTGTAGCCTACATGTTCTCCGAGGGGGGGAGAAATCCACACACACACACACGCACAGGGATTATTTGCAGCCTGGCATGACACAACCAGAGAGGCAGATTATTCCTCCCTCGTGTAAATAAAAACCTCATCATAGGAATCATGTTTCACTCAATTCAGGGACATGGTGGAGCAGTTTAAATGCAACCCCCCTTTCACTTAGTGCAAGGCCGGAGCAAGCATTTCTGGGACCACAGTGCAGAATCCTTCACCATATAAGAATTGGTGCTGTGTGCTATTGTAGTTCCCACTTTGTATTTTATGATGGCTGCTCTTGGTTTGATTCCAAGCGCCTCTTAACAGCACGTTAAGTCTTGAGCAAGACACTGAAGCCCTGCACTGCATAAAATATCTGTGAGTGAATGTGTGGCATTGCAGAGCACTGCACTGTGCTCACATGATGAAGCCCATATGTATCATTTAAAAAGCAGTCGATGAAATGTTGTCTTAATTTTAGCATTTTTTGCAGGTTTTCACTATTTCTGTAAAAAAGAATAAATGTATTTGTTAATAATCATTTACCTAAAAGCTAAACCTAACATTTTTATTATTATTGTCAGCAAATACAGTGTGTCAGTCTGTCTCTCAATACCAAGCTGCAACCACTGTGGTTGATAACTGAAGTCAACACGGAAGTAACAGAAACTGCAGTTCCTCTAACAGCCACTTGAGGCTGGCTCCAGCAGAAATTATTATTTCCATAAGGCCCCATATTAAAATGCCCAACTTTACAGCGAGAAAAAACACGTTTACAGCCTGGTACAGAAAACAGTTTTAGCCTGTATAGCTAATTTCCCTGTTTATGACAACTGTATGGGGGTGATTTTTTACATAACTAACCTGTTTAAATTATATTAAGGCTTAAAGTTATGCATATTTTGGGACATGGCTGCTTTGTGTAACAGGTTAAAATGACAAGAATGAAACATGGCTGTTGTGTGGGTAAAGTGCGTGTGTTTCTTAAGGTCCAACAACTCAACTGACACATCTTCTCTCCAGTTGATTGCATTCTCCCAAGTTAAAATTCCATTTATATCTTATCCATAATTACAATACAACATCTATAGTTCTCTTTCTCTTGTGAAACATTAATCTGAAGCTCAATTCTGAGACTGTTGAGTAGTTTTCTAATTAACAATAAATGCAGCAACTTTTATAAAACGCACTTGTGCTGTTACTTGTGATAAAAACATTGCTTCAAAATCACTGAAGCTCAATTCTGTTCGGGTTCGGTTCTGTAAACAGTTTTTTAATAACTATAGCAACCCCTGATCAACCCAAATCAATTTCAGGCTTAAATTAACAATTTACAGTCAGCCCCACTCACTTCTGGTTTAAGTCCCGCCCATTTCGAGTAAAGATACAGACAATTGTGTGCTTGCTCATCCCTAATAATTTAAGCTTATAAACGTAATGTTTTTTAACAATGACCTCCGGTATTATTAAGGAGCTCATGAAAATTAGGGCAGGCTACAGCTGTTATTTTAAGGTGTCAGATATATTTAACAAGCATTTAGGTAAGTAAAAGTGTCAGATTGGACTCAATAAAGAAGGACTCAGATAGAGATCAGGGCCAAAAAAAACTAATTTTTTTTGGCCCTGACTAATAGTGAGTATTTAGGGCAGCAGGGTGGTTTATGTAGCGTAGCTAAACTACAGTGTGTTCATGTTATGATAGAATATGTCACCCAGTGCAACACTGTGGCTCACTGATGTGTTTCTCGATAACAGTGGACATTTGTCACAGAGTAAGAAGATCTGTCATGGTTTTGGGTTTTCTTGAGTTACTTCCGGTTTTATTTTGTAATTCTGTGTCTTGTTTCAATTCACTTCCTGTCTTTGTCTGTTTTCCCTCCGGTTGTGATTGTTTTCCTCGCCGTTTGTAGGTTCACCTTTGTTTCATTGGTTAATTAGCTTCCATCTTTCAGTTGTCAGTTCATCTTGGTTTTGTTTCTGTTCCTGGTTTTGTCCCTAGTTGTTTTTTGCTTACACCTGTTCCTGCACCTGCCTGTAAACTATGTACAATGACAGAATGAACAGACCTTCTGTCATCACTCAGGAAACTCAGGAATGAACCCAAACCAAAGCCCAACCAATATTCTGCTTTAATACACACACGATACTTGTTGGTATAAATCCATTGTTGGTGTTGACAATAAGATACATACAGAATATGATTGGATTCCCTCCAGCTTTACAATACACAAAAAGTTGCATGGGTTTCAGCAATAAGATCTTCCTGCAGAAAGAGATTCCTATCGCACTTCATCGATGCAGGGCACAATGGGAATTTTTTTTACCAAACTATTGCGGCAAAGTATCCTTTTACAGCTTCATGTGATTCAATTAAAATCGTACTGAGAACATAAATGAATGTGTCAAAAAAGGTAAAACTTTTTAAGGTGCAATACTCATGTCAACACAGGCACAGGATCTTTTGTTCCTTCGCATGACTCATTATTGCTGATGTATCAAATAACCCTCACTACTTCTCTTTATTACTTAAACATCAAAGACTGATAGGGATAGAAGGATCATCAATCATCATTTCTGAATCTAATTCTGCTTTTTTCCCCCTGTCTTCTATGACTCGATATCTAAAAAGCCGTCCCCGAGCCAGCAAACAAGGAGCCTCTCTTTGCCACGGAGGAAGTAAATTCCATGTCCCGAGCTTAGTTTGGCTCACGTCTTTGCCTACTCTGCCAAACCTGCGGGCTTCCTCCAGAGCGCTATACTCTTCATTCATTTCGCATAGGAGCAGCAACAACTGCAGCATCTGTAGCTCCTGTCTCAACGCTTAAGGCTATGGGTAGATGGTCATCATCTGTTATGAACGTTACCTCCAGCCCGAGGCCCAAGCCATCCTTGGTGCTCAAAAAGCAATGAGTGCTGTAATTTGCTGGCTTAAGCACAATAATTTATAGCATAACTTCTTGGGGATGTCTCTATTATACCTAGCATGTTACCTCAAACTAGTGTCTGCAATTGGTTTATTGCTCTGCTGGCTCCTCTTACCGGCACTTCCATGTAGCTCATGGAAGGGAGGTTGCCTGGTATGGTTCTTTGGGGGTGTTGCTGCCGCTCCCCTTGTCTTAAGCTTTTCCACATAAGCACGTGGAAGGGCAAGGAGGTCCCAGAACAGAGCCATACCACCAAATTTAACATTCTGCTTTGGGAATATGTTTATTTTATTTATTCTTTATTTTTATTTATTTTTTATTTTTTTGCTTATTAAGTTAAATAAGTTAAATACATAATAGCATAATAAATATTTGTAGCAGGCTCGCTACTAACGGGGGTTCTCCCAGCACACAGACCAGCAACAGGGATTAAGTAACAAGACGACTTTATTCTTTACCCTGCGCACACATAATTATCACACAAGTTAGCCTGCTTCCTAAAGTCCATACAGGTCTGCTCCAGTTGTGTCTCTATCATGTGTGTCAGTCCTCGAGATCCAACACACTACTGCTTAAAAGAGGTGAGAGTGATTAGTTCATGAGTACCATCTGAGACAATCAACTCACCTGGTGCTGCTCGCACAAGCCTTCACCACACCTCTCTCTCCTGCAGCTGAGTGCAAACCACACCCACCTCCACAAACTTCTTAAGGATCTCTCTATTAATCCTCAGCTATGTTACTCAAACTAGTGTCTGCATAGATTATTGGCTTAATGACTGTTATTTATTCCTTACAAAAAATTGCTCTGCTGGCTCCTCTACTGGCACTTCCATGTAGTTCATGGAAGGGAGGTTGCCTGGTATGGTTCTTTGGGGGTCTCTGCTGCCGCTCTCCTTGTCTTAAGTTTTTCCATGTATGCACATGGAAGGGCAGGGAGGTCCCAGAACAGAGCCATACCACCAAATGTTATATTCTGCTTTGGAATAAAAGTTACTTTGACAAAAGTGTTCCTGACTGAAATTAAGCATAGCATTAGTTCAGGCAGGCCACAAAGTCAGGCTCAGCTCTCAATTCCAGCTATATCATATGATCACAGCTAGTTGTAAACACACATCAGCTGATGGCTCAGCTGATTCCTCCTAAACTTCCTATTGGAAACCATACACAGTCAGCTGACAGCTCAGCTGAATTCCTCAAGCATCCAATTGGCAAATATCATTCAGGGCGCCTTATTTAAGCTGCTTTAGCCTGCCTATCTTCGCTGCTTCCTCTACAAGCTGTTTTGCAACCCACCTCCACCCCAGCTCCTCCTTTTTATGTTTAATAATAATGTCATTACAATGTCATTTTCTGATTGTCATTGATACTTGCTCTGTTCTGTACCCTGGGGGATCTCTATCACCGCTCCCCTTGTCTTAAGCTTGTCCATGTATGCACATGGAAGGGCAGGGAGGTGTGCTCTCCCTGCCTTAAGGTTTTCCATGTAGGCACGTGGAAGGGCAAGGAGGTCCCAGAACAGAGCCATACCGCCAAATGTAACATTCTGCTTTGGAATAATAGTTCTTTTGACAAAAGTGGTCCTGACTGAAGTATGGTTGTAAGTATTTAGTAAGTATTTTGGGGGCGGTAACTGTTACATTATTACTGAAATGTATTAGTAATTAGTTAGACTGCTAGTTAAAACAGTGGTACAAACTTACAACACAAAAATTCTCAATAATATGGTAATAAATCTGTACAAATAGAAAAAAGGGTATAAAGAAAATGTGTATAGTATATACTTTTAATTCAAGTGGTCTGAAACCAGACTTCCACCTCTCCCCTTGGCTCTGTGTTCAGGCTTTACAAAATCTCACCCGTGACAGGAGACTTTGGCCAACACAGGTCATTAGATGCACGTGTACGTCCCTTCAGATAAAGCCCCGTATCGCATAGCCAGATTGATCTCCACACTTTGCTTTAGTGCCGAGCCGGCCAGAAAGTGAGCGTGAAAGTCTGATTCATTCCTCCTTTGCCTACCACAGCGTATAGTACAAACACGTGTGTGGACCCACCCCGCCTCCACACAGAGCTTCGGGCTCATTATGTTCGATGTCATGGTGCTCGTATCGACGAGTGGCACAGAGACATGACGACAAAGAGTGGGGGATAACTTTGGAGGGGGGGCAGTGGTGTGTGTGTGTGTGTGTGTGTGTGTGTGTGGTGTACTAGCCCTGTGGCTCTCGCTGGCACAAAGCATGTCTGATTTCTTTTTCTGTGTTATTAGAGGTCAGTGGAACAGTCCATTAATACGATGCTACCCTCCCGGAGAACTCAGGTCTGCTGTTTCTTGACCCTCATCGCTAAAGCAGAGTGTTGATGAGGCAGTCTAAAAGGTCTGGACCACCCTGTCAACGTGCTGTTACACAGTGTCACTGCAGCATCCTCTGAGGCCTGGGATACTCTGCCCTCGGGGCTGCAAAGCACTGGTAGGGCATTTTTGAGAGGACGAGTCACGACCAGGGTCTTGGCGAGGCCCACGCCATGGAGAGGGAGCCTTATTAGGGATGATCAGATTTCACAGGGGAGCTGGCTCCTTCTGCCACCTTTCAACTTTGGTGGGGTTTGGTGGGAGGGGCTTGGTGGAGTGATACGATACAGCAGAGTGAGAGAGATAGAATGTTTGACATTATGTCTGTCAAACTGCCAACCCGAACTTTTATAACCCCCATTTCACTTGGTGCAGGGTCAGATCAAGCAAATGTGGGGGTTTGTGGCATTGTACCTGTCTCAGTGGACAAAAAGTTGTTGGTAAAAAATCCTTGACCTCCATGGTCCACTGTACAAATATTAAAACAGATATTAAAAGCTTTTTCAGACAAACTACAGGAAGAAAATTATTTCCAAAAAGTCACTATTAGGCCGCAGAGAGGAAGTTGAGGACATGGCATGATTTTAATGCAGAACTGTCTTGTGCAGCAGTGAAAGACAAACTGTATACAGCACAATGATGTATGCAGTATGCTGTTAGATGCAGCATTTACAATTCTGATGCAAATGATGTATAAAATTGCAATATTATTGTTTAAAGGTTATTTATGAGATTTAAAACATTAATAAAGCAGCAAAGGTTTTTTTCGACCAAAGCAGAGTTGGTGATTGTTGAAACGGCTTACATTACCATTTTATTGTTATTTTCTCATCTAACTCAGTGAATTAAGGGTTTATTTCGACCAAAGCAGAGTTGGTGATTGTTGGAACAATGGAAAGACAAACAAAAACGATTTTGGTGAGTATTGATATTGATATTAATGTTTTTGTCTATGGAGTCTGGTGGAGAGTGATAGCGACCACCCCACAAGAGCTGCAGGTTTGGAGATGCTCTGACCCAGTCGTCTCGCCTTCACAATTTGGCCCTTGTCAAAGTCGCTCAAATCCTCACGTTGCCCATTTTCCTGCTTCTAACACATCAACTTTGAGGACAAAATGTTCACTTGCTGCCTAATATGCATTCATATGCGCTGGCGTGTGCAGGACGCTTATCCAGTAGCTCTGTATGTGTCATGTTGTTTTTAGTACTTTAAGTGTGTTTTTTTAAACTTTTAACTCAGTATATTACACTAGCTGTGTAGAACTTTATATATCCTATGGATACAATGACTTTTTACAGACAACATAGCGGTGGACATTCAAGGTTTGTTCAAGGAAGAAGCTGCTTTCACTCCACGAGCCGGCATTTTCCACCCCATACCTGAGGAGCTGAGGAGGAGGCACCGAGGCTGCAGAGTCGGAGCGAAGGTGAAGGCTAGGCTAGCTGCTAAGCGGTGGAAGTACAAGCCCTTGGTTCTGTCGATAGTAATAGGGAATGTGAACTGTCTGACCAACAAGATGGACGAGCTGGCTGCCCTTGTTAGGACGGACAGGACTTTCAGGGAGTGCAGTTTACTTTGCCTCTCTGACACAAACCAGCTAAACCAGTTTTTTAACAGGTTTGATACTCCAGCTCCCACAACCAGCGACGGCCCACATCACACCCCCACCATGTCCATCACCTCCCCAAACGCCACCACCATGTCCATCACCACCTCAGACTGCAGACCACCCCCACCCTCCACACCCATGGACAGTTCAACCCCCCTGAGTTGAACTGAGGAGGCTTCGTCCAAGGAAACCAGCGGGCCCAGAATGTGTCCAAGGATGCTTAAAGCCTGTTCTGCTGAACTGGGGCAGCCACTCCAGCATGTCTTCAACCTGAGCCTGCAGCTGGGGAGGGTCCCAGTGCTCTGGAAGACTTCATGTCTCATCCCAGTTCCTAAGAAAAAACACCCCGGGGAGCCGAGTGACTTCAGACCAGTAGCACTGACATCACACATTATGAAGACCTTTGAATGGCTGCTGCTCCATGTCCTCAGTCCCCAGGTCCACCACGCACAAGATCCACTGCAGTTTGATACCAGGAGAAGGTGGGCGTGGAGGATGCCATCCTCTATCTGCTCCATAGCGCCTACTCTCATCTGGGCAAGGAGAGCGGCGATGTGAGAATCGCGTTTTTTGACATCTCCAGCGCCTTCAACACCATCCGGCCACTCCTGCTGAGAGACAAGCTGATAGAGTGAGGGTGGACCCACTCCTGGTGACATGGAATACGGACTACCTCACGGAGAGACCACAGTACGTCAGACCAAAGGGCTGCACGTCAGACACTGTGGTCAGCAGCACCAGAGCACCACAGGGGACCGTGCTCTCTCCCATCCTCTTCACCTAGTACACATCTGACTACCAGTATAACTCTGGGCTCTGCCACATACAGAAGGATGGATGTGAGGGGAAGTACAGGAGCCTGGTTGAGGACTTCTTTTGGTGGTGTAGGTCCAACCATCTGCAAGCTGAACACCTCCGAGACCAAGGAGATGGTGGTGGACTTCAGAAGGAAGAAACCACATCTCCAACCCATGTCCATCGAGGGGGTCGATGTGGAGGTGGTCAGGACATATAAATATCTGGGGCTGCAGCTGGATGACAAGCTGGATTGGACAGCAAATATGGATACTTTACACAGGAAAGGGCAGAGCCGTCTGTACTTCCTGAGAAGGCTGGGGTCCTTCAACATCTGCAAAAAAAACGTCTGTGGTGGCCAGCGTCCTCTTTTATGCTGTAGTTTGCTGGGGAGGAAGCAGCAAGAAGAGAGACGCCGGTCAACTGGACAGACTGGTGAGGAGAGCTGGCTCAGTGGTGGGCACAGAGCTAGACTCTCTGGTGACAGTGGCAGAGAAGGGGACCCTGGACAAACTGCTGTCCATAGTGGACAACGCTCACCATCCTCTGCACAACACCTCCAATCCAGCTCCACCAACAGACTGAAAAACTCTTTCGTCCCCCTGGCCATCAGACTGTACAACAGCTCTTAGTCAAGGCAGGGCGGACAATAGACAATAGACAATGGACAATTTCTACCTTCATTTGCACATCCATTTGCACTCCACTCCATTGCACTGCTTACTGTTTGCACTGTTTTACTGTAGCTACTGTGTTTTAAGTTAATTTTATTTAAATTTTATTTTAATGTATGTTCAATGTATGTTCAATGTATGTTTAATGTATGTAATGTATGTCTTGTATGCTACTGGATACTTGAATTTCCTTCGGGATAAATCTATCTATCTATCTATCTATCTATCTATCTATCTATCTATCTATCTATCTATCTATCTATCTATCTATCTATCTATCTATCTATCTATCTATCTATCTATCTATCTATCTATCTATCTATCTATCTATCTATCTATCTATCTATCTATCTATCCCACCCACTGACAGGTGCCATGATAACCAGATAATCAGTGTTATTCACTTCACCTGTCAGTGCTCATAATGTTATGGCTGATCAGTGTAAGGTCCCCTTTAAGGTTGACCAAAAGTAAGTACAAAATTTAAAAAGTCATAGGGATTACATGCTCTACATTGCCATACCATACACCATAGTGGTTTGGAACCGTTTTCGTATTTTGACCCATTTGAAATGATAGGTGTCGACCTGTGACACTTCTTTAAAGCTTATGCCCTTTGATGGACATGTTGTCAGCAGTTCAACCAAACAGTGACTCCTTGTTCTCAGATTGTTTCATTGGAAGGATTTTTATTATTTTATTGTATTTGACAAGAAATTGCAAACACAGGAGAAAAGTCAGAAAGAATCTTCTGGGGTTTTTTAAAAAAAAATCTGGTGGCCTGTCAGATTTATCTTGTGACCCCTGTGGGTGTCTTCACCCCCAGGTTGGGAAAGACTATCTTAGACTAAAACATACAGGCCTTGGTCTGTAGTAATGACAATTTTCTTTGTGGCCATATTCCAACATTTCCCTTTTGGTCCAGTTAAACACTTCAAATCCCCCCCTTTGATCTCAGGAGTGCACCCGATGTGTGATCCTGGGATCAAGAGCATATAGTCCATAGCTGAAAGAGTTCATTTGTCAGTTCATTCAAGTTAAGTTACAACTGGGCAGTTCATTGATAACTACCTATCTTGGCTAAGCAAGGACAGTAAACAAGTTACAAAACAAAACCATATAAACATGACAAGAACATTACTATGGCTAACATACATAACCAGTGTTTCTCAGTGACTCTCTGGTTAATGAGATGAAATGAAATATGAAATATATATAATAAATATATATAATAATATTCAATTCAATTCAATTCAATTTTATTTGTATAGCGCCAATTCATAACAGAAGTTATCTCAGGACACTTTCCAAATAGAGCAGGTCTAGACCGAAGTCCTTAAACATTATTTACAGAGACCCAACAGTACCACCATGAGCAAGCACTTGGCGACAAGGGCAAGGAAAAACTGCCTGTTAAAAGGCAGAAACCTAGGACAGATCCTTCGGCTCTAGGTGGGTGGTCGTCTGTCTCAACCAGTTGGGGTGAGAGAGAGAGAGAGAGAGAGAGAGAGAGAGAGAGAGAGAAACAGACAGACAGGTGCACAGCAACAACAGTATTGGCAATGGCAATCTAGCAGGACCATGGCAGGAGGCTCCACCAGGAACCTGTGAGACGAGAAAGCACAAGAACTCCAGGGAAGAAGTGAAGTTAGTAACATGCATTAATGGAACATGAATGAGTGCAGAAAGAGAGAGGAAGAGAGGAGCTCAGTGCACCATGGGAAATCCCCCAATAGTCTAGGCCTATAGCAGCATAACTAAGGGATGGTTCAGGACTCACCTGATCCAGCCCTAACTATAAGCTTTATCAAAGAGGACTGTCTTAAGCCTACTCTTGAATGTGGTGAGGGTGTCTGCCTCCCGAACCACAACTGGAAGCTGGTTCCACAGGAGAGGAGCTTGGTAACTGAAGGCTCTGGCTCCTGCTCTACTTTTAGAGACTATAGGAACCACAAGTAGCCCAGCATTCAGAGAACGTAGTGTTCTAGAGGGGTAATAGGGTACTGTGAGCTCTTTAAGATATGAAGGGGCCTGACCATGAAGAGCTTTATAGGTGAGGAGGAGAATTTTAAATTCTATTCTAAAATGTACAGGGAGCCAGTGCAGAGAAGCTAGTACAGAAGAGATGTGATCTCTTTTTCTAGTTCCTGTCAGTACTCGTGCTGCAGCGTTTTGAATTAATTGGAGCATTTTAATGGATTTATTTGATGCAACCTGATAATAAAGAGTTGCAGTAATCCAGCCTTGAAGTAACAAATGCATGGATTAGTTTTTCTGCATCTGTCTGTGATAGGATGTGTCTAATTTTTGTAATATTACGTAAATGAAAGAAGGCAGTCCTAGAGGTCTGCTTCATGTGGGAATTAAATGACAAATCTTGATC